GTCTTGCTGCCCAGGCGGGTCTCGAACCCGCGGGCTCAGGCAATCTGCTCACCTCAGCCTCCCAAAGGTGCGGGATTACAGGCTGAGCCACCGAGCCCGGCTGCAGGTATCTTTTTTATAGAATGACTTGAATTCCTTCAGGTATATGCCCAATAGGGGAATTGCTGGGTCATATGGAAGGTCAGTTTCTGGTTCTTTCAGAAATCGCCACACTGCCTTCCAAAGAGGTTGTACTAGTTTGCTTTCCCACCAGCAGGGTAGAAGCATTTCTTTCTCTCCGCATCCTCGCCAGCGTCTGTTGTTTTATTTATTTATTTATTTATTTATTTATTTATTTATTTTTTGAGTTGGAGTCTCACTCTGTCACCCAGACTGGAGTGCAGTGGATGCTTCCAGCCACCGCAGCCTCGACCTGCTGGGCTCTGGCGATCCTTCTGCTTCAGCCGTCCAAGTAGCTGGAACTACAGGTGCGTGCTACCACGCCCGGCTCATTTTGATTTATTGTAGAGATGAGGTCTCGCCAAGTTGCCCAGCCGTGTCTCGATCCTGCGGGCTCAGGCAATCCACTCACCTCAGCCCCCCAAAGGCGCGGGATTACAGGCTGAGCCACTGAGCCGGCTTTGTTTGTTTTATTAATGATGGCCTTTCTGAGATTAAGTTGTGTATCAGTGTGGTTTTGATTTGCATTTCTCTGATAAGTGAGGCTAAGCACTTTTTCATGTGTCTGTTGGCTGCCAGTTTGTCTTCCTTTGAGAAGTGTCTATTCATGTCTTTTGCCCACTTTTGAATGGGACTGATTGTTTTCTTCCAATGCACTCACCTCAGCCTCCCAAGGCGTGGGACTACAGGCTGAGCCACTGAGCCCGGCTTTCCTGCTCTCTTGATGGTTTCTTTTGCTTTGCAGAAACTAGTTAGTTTGATGAGGTCCCACTTGTCTATCTTATTTCTTAAATTTTTCTTAAGGTATGGGCATTTAGGGTTCTGAATAGGAATTGGTTGCCAGTTTCAATTTCCATTAGGGTGTCTCCTGCGTTTTCTAAGATTCTTATAGTTTGAGGTTTTAAGTTTAGGTCTTTGATCCATTTAGAGTTAATTTTTGTATATGGTGATAGCCAGTTTCATTCTTCTGCGTGTGATCAGCCAGTTTTCTCAGCACCATTTACTGAATAGGCTTTCCTCTCCCCAGTGGTTGTTGTTGGAGGCTTTGTCAAAGATGAGTTGGTTGAGAAATTGAGACTTTGCTTCTGGACTCTGTATCCTGTTCCATTGGTCTATATGCCTGTTCTTGTACCAATACCAGGCTATTTTGATTACTGTACTCACTAATAGTAAAGTTTGAAGTCTGGAAGTGTGATACCTTCTGCTTTGTTTCTTTTGCTAAGGATTGTTTTGGCTGTTCATGGTTGTTTATGTTTCCACATGAATTGCTGTATTGTGGTTTCCAGGTCTGAGAAGAATGATGCTGGTAATTTAATGGTTATTGTATTAAATCTGTAGATTGCCTTGGGTAGAATGGACATCTTTATAATGTTGATTCTTCCAATCCATGAGCATGGAATATTTTTCCATTTGTTCGTGTCTTCTTGGATTTCTTTGAGTAGTGTTTTGTGTTCTCATTGTAAAGGTCTTTCACTTCTCTGGTTAGGAAGTATTTTTATTTCTTTTGACTTGGAGTCTCTGTTGCTCATGCTAGAGGGCAGTGGCACGCTCCTGGCCAATGCAACTTCTAAGTAGCCAGAAACTACAGGA